CAAAAAAAAAAAAAAAAAAAAAAAATGGAAATAGGATCAGGTACCTTACCCTGCCACTCACCCCTGGAATAAAATCCAGATGAGCTCCTGAGCTCACAGGTCCCGCATCCTACCCCTCCCCACCTTGCCTACCCCGGCTCCAGCCACCACACTTTGATCACCTGGTCTCCTTCCACTTTCTCAAATTGGCAGAGCTTTTCTCACCTCGGGGCCACACCTGCTGTTCCCCAGGCCTGCAACGCTCTTCCTCCACTCTGCGTGCCTAGATTCTTTTATACTTTGGTCTCAGCTCTTCTGTCACCTCTTTGCAGAAACCTTCCCTGGTCGTCTCATCGGGAGCAGCCACCAAACACCTCAAGCCCATTTTCCTTTTTGCCCTTTATTAACAGCCATTAAAACCGTGTATTTGGTGAAAGCCCGTCTCTACTAAAAACACAAAAAATTAGCTGGACGTGGTGGCGGGTGCCTGTAGTCCTGGCTACTTGGGAGGCTGAGGCAGGAGAATTGCTTGAACCCGGGAGACAGAGGTTGCAATGAATCGAGATCACTGCAGCCTGAATGACAGAGTGAGACTCCGTCTCAAAAAAAAAAAAAAAAAAAAAAAAAAAAAAAAAAAAAAAAAAAAAAACAAACGAAAAAAAAAAAAAAAAAAAAAAACAAAACACGTATATTTATTTATTGCCCATTATTCATTAAATGTCTCTTTGCCTCACTATACTCTAAATGTCATGAGGTCAAAGACAATGTCTATTTTGTTCACCATGATACCCAATAATACTTTGCACAGCACCTGGGCTAGAGTAAGCACTCAGTAATGATCGAGTGGATGAATGGACCACAGAATAAAGCCCTGGTGCAGAGCCTGGCAAACTACCCTAGTTTCACTTAGGACTCCATCTCCCTCCGCCTCTCTTCATTTCCTCCTTCCCTGTTTGGAGCAGTACCAGGGGTCTAGAAGAAAACCAGGAAGCCACTCAGTTGGGGTAGATGATGTCATATCAGGGGCTCCAGGGAGACTCCCTTTCCCCAGATCCCCTCTTGCCTAGCTCCTGGATTTCTACCACGAGTCTCCTGGCCATAAGGGATTCCTGATAACATGCAAACACTTGTTATCTAGCTAGTAACACACACTGAGTAGGTGGACGGCACGGGTGCAGCCTTCTGTCTTTACGAAGACTGTGAGTCTGAAGACATGGGTTCCATGTCACCATTAACTAGCTGGGTGACTTTGCGTGAGTCACTTCTTGTTTCTCATCTGCAAAGCAAGTAGTTCAGATGGAGAATTGGTTTTTAAACATTTTCTTTTCTCTAGCAGCTCAGCTCTTCAAATTATTCAAATGACCCGTAGAGAGGCAGAGAAAAGCCAGGTGTTTCTGTTTGAAGCGGAGAAGCAAGGCTGGAGTGCGCCTCCCTCCAACTCCCCCCTTGAACTCCCTAAGGTTGAAAGGATGGCCAGCTCTAAGATCTCAGCAGGCTGATCGGCTGTGTGCTAAGAACAAGCAGATGGCAGCAGGGCTTGTGCACGCTGCTTGCAGTTACTTAGGTACATTAAAAGATCAGCAGGTGACTGGACTGAATCTGATAGTCGGAGCTCTTAAGCTCTGAAGTAAGTAACTTTCACATCAAACAAAGTGCTGAGTGGGCAGCCCCTTTGTGCAAGGAGGAGGTTTCACCCACTTTCCAAGAGAAATGAAGGCCCCAGAGAGAGGAAGCCCAGAAGACTCACCCTTTTCACATCTAGAAAGAGGAAACTGCCACCCTACCTTTCCAGACCAGGGATTCCAGGTCTTGAAGGGAGGGCCTACAATCTTGTGGGTGGTTGGCTTCCAGGTTCAATTAGTTGCCATGCCCTGGGGGGAACTCAGGTCCACCATCTCCCTCCCCACCCTGCCCCCCAGGAAGCTCTTGGGCCTTGGCTCCACGCAGGTGTGCTCAAGAGGCTGCAGACTGGGCCACTTGGCAGCCCCAGGTGCTGCGTGTGTGCTGCCATGGAGACAGGCTCCTGGCTTGGTGGCAAGAAGGCAGTCTCCCAAAGCTTTGCTTATTCAGGGGAGGGAGTGTCTGGAGCCTCAGGCCCTCCAGAGTACTCTGCCTGCCATCCTGGAGGCCACGGAAGCCCAGGTGTGTGCCCTGAAGGGCTCCCAGGACAAAGGGAGGGAGGAGGAGCCAGGGGAGGCAGAGGATGGGAAGAGGCTCTGGAAGGGCTAATCTGGGGACTGGGGCAGGGGAGCTTCTGCAAGACTTCCAGGTGAGGAGAAAGGCCTTACCAGGGGCCTCCTTGCCAGGCCACGGATTGGGTGAGTAGACTCTGGAGGGTTGGCCCTCTAGCTCAAGGGGAGGAGGGAAAGAGGGCCTGGCATTTGTCCCCATAGGAGGGACAGACCAGGGAATTCATAAAACCCATCTCTGTGCTAGTCAGGGATTTGAGGTAGCAGGGAAGGAAACATTTGTTTCCTTTCTCTAGCAAAATTCGCAGCTTACCCCCAGCTCCCTGGATTCAGGGCAGCCACGGGCACACACACCGACCATAAGGAGCATTTGCGTTCAGCTCCAAAGCCCGAAGCTGGGGGCGCTGTTTCCTTCAATGCCGGCTCACTTGGGGGCTCTTAGTAGCGGTGGCCCAGGCTTTCCCCTTGACAGAGGGGAGGCTGCAGGAGCATTCGACTCAACTCAATGGCTTAGGAACTGGTGATCGAGAACAAAACGCTTTTGAACCTAAGTAAAACCTGAGTGATTACACCTTTCAACACCCACAAAACACTTCGCTCCAGGCCAAGCACAGGGACGGGGTTTCATGGCTGTTCCTTTGTTCCTTTCCCCCTTCTGCCAGGACGACTCTCACGAGGCCTCCCCGTGTGTGTCTGAGGATGGCTGAGCAGCAGGGCCGGGAGCTCGAGGCTGAGTGCCCTGTCTGCTGGAACCCCTTCAACAACACATTCCATACCCCCAAAATGCTGGATTGCTGCCACTCCTTCTGCGTGGAATGCCTGGCCCACCTCAGCCTGGTGACCCCGGCCCGGCGCCGCCTGCTGTGCCCACTCTGTCGCCAGCCCACGGTGCTGGCCTCAGGGCAGCCCGTCACTGACTTGCCCACGGACACTGCCATGCTCACCCTGCTCCGCCTGGAGCCCCACCATGTCATCCTGGAAGGCCGTCAGCTCTGCCTCAAGGACCAGCCCAAGAGCCGCTACTTCCTGCGCCAGCCTCGAGTCTACACGCTGGACCTTGGCCCCCAGTCTGGGGGCCAGCCAGGGCCACCCCCGGACACAGCCTCTGCCACCATGCCTACGCCCATCCCCATCCCCAGCCACTACTCCCCAAGGGAGTGTTTCCGCAACCCTCAGTTCCGCATCTTTGCCTACCTGATGGCCGTCATCCTCAGCGTCACTCTGTTGCTCATCTTCTCCATCTTTTGGACCAAGCAGTTCCTTTGGGGTGTAGGGTGAGCGCTGTTCCCAGACAAGAAACCAAGCCTTTCTCGGTTGCTGCTGGGCATGGTGACCGCGGAGCCTCATTTGGTATTGTCTTCCTTTGTAGTGTTGTTTATTTTACAATCCAGGGATTGGTTAGGCCATGTGTTTGGTTCTGGGAACAATTTTTAAAAAAAAACTAACTAAAAGCTTGAAGGACTGCGAGAAGTGGAACCACCTCAACCTCCAGGTGTGAGTGTGACATCATGGAAGGGCAGAGAAGCAGTTCTGACCACAGAGCTACCCAGCAAGCTGTGCCAAAGGGTGGTACAATAGGGTCCAGGAACCTGACTGGCCCAAATAGCAAGTTGTATTTCCCACTGGAGCTGCTTCAAACTCAGTGCACATTTTTTTTGAGCTGCTCTTCCTACTATGGATTGCTAAAAAAAAAAAAAAAAAAATTGGGAAATGAGCTTCAATTCTGTGGGTAAATGTGTTTGTTTCTTTTCAGCTTTCTTTTTGGATGTCTTGCCACCAGTTGCAGTAAAACTGTGCTGCATTCATTAACTCATTCACTTATTCATTCTATGACCAGTAGCTGGGCTGGCACTGAGTGCCAGAACTAAGGGAAGAGAAGAGTAGGATTATCCAGGGGTGGCAGACGGCCCTTTCCAGCAGGAAGGGGTGCGCTCATTCAGCTGCTGCTTCTAGGAGAACACCTCTTGCCAGCACACAGTTCGTGGAGTGTTAGGTGTATACAAATCTAAAGGTGAAAGACGCCATATCGGTGGACTAGGGGAAGTCTGGGATTTGGAGGAATAGGTCTTTCTTCCTCTGGGCAGGTACAGAAGCTCTGATTAGAATGGACACAGGGTAGAGCTCTGACTCCCCTCCCCCAGGCTCCATAATTCTGGCTTCAAGAAGATAGAAACCCTGGACAGAGGCAAAGCCTTAGCTCCCATCCCAGGCCATAGAAGGCAGCGGGGGGAACCTTGGCTTTCACTTTACGTGATAGAAGCCAGGAACCAATCAGACAGAATTTGGGGGCTCATGCTGTTGCTTAATAAGTTGCAGCCTTGCAGTGTCTAAAACCCTGATTCCTGTTTCCCCAGTTTTAACCTTGGCTGGTGGCCCAAGGCTCTGAAACAATTTTACAGTGGTTAAGATACCATCACAGGCTGGCCACGGTGGCTCAGGCCTGTAATCCCAGCACTTTGGGAGGCCAAGGTGGGCAGATCATTTGAGGTCAGGAGTTTGAGACCAGCCTGGCCAACATGGTGAAAACCCGTTTCTACTAAAAATACAAAAAATTACCTGGGCATGGTGGCACACACCTGTAATCCCAGCTGCTGGGGAGGCTGAGGCAGGAGAATTCCTTGAACCCAGGAGACGGAGGTTGCAGCACCACTGCACTCAAGCCTGGGCGACAAAGCGAGACTCCATCTCAAAAAAAAAAGTCATTCACTAGACATATGCCTACATTGAACATCGAACTTAAAGAGAATTCTTTT